ACTCATCACTCTATCCAATCCTTTGTAGTCACTAGAACTAACTTTCCACCTGATGGCAGCTGAGGCCTCTGTGTCTGACTCCAAACCTGATGCATGTGGGGGCTCAGGAAACATTTTGAGGGGGTGAGAGGGTGAGCGATGCCTGAGGGCTCCTCCATGCCCCACAGTACTGGCTTTCCCCAGCCCAGAGGGGCCCCTGGAGTGGGTCTGGGAGCCCTCTGAGGTAACAGAGCCCTTTGAATAGTGGTCACCATGGCGACTCCAATGAACAGTGGAGGGGGGCCGCTCCCTGGCAACCACCCAGTGGTCTTCACCAGCAGTTCTGCAGTGTGGATCTGCACTCCTGGGCTTCAGTACACACCAGAGTGGTTCACGTGTTTTCTGACGTTATGAGAGAGAGTGGAGAGGTGAGGCAGAGACCTGTGGGGTGGACGGGGGTCTTCCAGGACCCGGGATTTCATCTCCCCTCTCTCCATTCAGGGCTGCCCGTGAGGGAAGAGTGCCCAGACGCAACGGGACCCCCTTCCCTGTCCTCCTTAACTGACGTCTCTTGGGACTTCCTCTCCAGATCAGAAGCTGGCAGTGAGTCCACACTTCTGCTCAAGCTGGTCTAGGCTGCTCTGGGCTGGGGGTGCCATTAGGGCAGATGGGACATTGCTGTGGGCACATCAGTTGGGTAACTGGAGATGGGGAACTGGGACAGGGCCGACAGCTCACTTGAAGGAGACAGAAGGTGAAGGGCTTGGTTTCAGCGCCACCTGGCTGAGGTCCTATTTCTTTTCTGAGCCTCACTTTCTCCATCTGTGAAAGAGGAGGAGTTATATTTTCTCTGAACACCTGAGTCCTTACGAAGACAGACTAACCTACTAGATGGGAGAATGTGTAACATATGAGCTGTATTAGTTATCTCTTTCCATCTAACAAATTGCCCCAAAACTCAGTGGTTTAAGAACATTATTAAAAATTAATTAATTAATTAATATTTTAGAGAGAGGGAAAAGGGCAGAGGGAGAGGGAGAAAGAGAATCCCAAACAGGATTCCATGTTCAGCGTGAAGCCTCATGTGGGACTCAATCTCACAACCTTGAGAGCATGACCTGAGCCGAAAATCAAAAGTCAGATGCTTAAGCTACTAAGCCACCCAGGTGCCCCTAAGATTTTTTTTTTTTTAATCTCACAATCTCTTTGAGTCAGAAATACAGATGCAGCTCCAATAGGTCCCATATCTCAGGGTCTTCCATAGACTATAATCAAAGTTCAACTAGAGAAGGACCCCTTTCCAGGGCCACTCATATGGTAGGGCTCAGTTCCTCATGGATTATTGATCTGAGAGCCTCAATTTCTCATGAACTGTTGGCCAGAGGCCTCCCTCAGATCTTTGCCACGTGGGCCTCTCCAGAGGGCAGCTCACAACATGAACCCTTCTTCTATCAGAGTGAGGGAGAGCCTGAGAGAGTGTGAACAAGACAGAGTCACAATCTTCTATATTCAATCTTCAATAACCTTGGAAGTAGCTTCTCATCCCATATTTAATTGGTTAGAAGCAAGTCAACAGGTCCAGCCCACACTCAAGGGGAAAGATAAAGCAGGGGTGTGAATTCCAAGGAACAGGATCCTTGGGAGCCATGTCAACTGCCCACCTTGGTGGCAGTTGGCCCTCTTGGCCCTGATAACATACATTGTTTCCATATGCAAAATACATTCATTTCTGCCCTACGATCTCCAAAAGGTTCATTCCATTACGGCATCAGCTCAAAATCTAGAACCTGTCTACAAATCAGGCCTGCGTGTGGATGAGGTTCCTTGAGTGTGGTTTCTTGGACTCAGTCCTATCTCCCCATCAGTAGATATTAGGAAACTAAACTATCTGTTCTGAACATACCACCATGCAATGAATGGTGTGGCTGACCTGGGATAAGGGCTATGAACATCCCTATTAAAAACTGAGGACACTGGAGACACAAGGAGTTACCAGTCCATAGCAGTTCTGAAATCCAGCAGGGATTGTTGAACTTTTCCTGATTGGGTTTCGAGGCCTGGAAGTAATTCTCCATGGCTCTCAGCTCTGCCCCACAGGTCCTTGCTTCCACTCTCTAATTTTTTTTTTTTTGAGAAATAAAAAAAGATAGCACATGTGTATGCTGAGTAGTTTTTTTTTTAAGATTTTATTTATTTATTCATGAGAATACACAGAGAGGAGAGAGAGAGGCAGAGACACAGGCAGAGGGAGAGGGAGAAGCAGGCTTCATGCAGGGAGCCTGCGTGGGACTCGATTCCGGGTCTCCAGGATCACACCCTGGGCCGAAGGCGGTGCTAAACCACTGAGCCACCAGGGCTGCCCATATGCTGAGTAGTTTTGTCAGACTCTTCTGCTGGTAGATTCGAGGGTCCACTAGACTCCATTTTGTACCATCTGTCCCTTTTGCTCCAAGCTGGTAGTACTTTTGTTAATATGGTTTTCTCCAGAACTTAAGCCTACAGGGGCTTGACAACAGCTCTGCTCCCCTTTCTGGGACTCCTGGGAAGACACAGCACCTCTAGGTTTCCTAGACGACCTATTACCCCACTGAGGGGGGGGGGTCTGTGAGGTGCATCCTTATCTCTTTAAAGGGTCCTTTGTGTGACTGAATAATATGCTCTGAGCTTTTTATCGTTATAAGCTTTTCACAAAAGGTGGTACAGTCACAGCTTTGGCTACCTTTTTGGATGGTGCTCTGAAGCTATTTCTTAATTTTAGCCTCTTTTGGCACCTGGGGAGGATGAGAATTTCCAAAACTATTAAGTCCTGCCTCTTTTATGTTTAATGGTCCTTCCTTCGATGCTTTTGTCTCCTGTCACATTTCACTACAAGCAGCAGGAAGAAACCAGGAGGTGCCTTCCATGCTTTGCTTGGAAATTTCCTTTGCTAGATCCCCTGGCTCATTAGTCACATGTTCTACTTTCCATATAACCATCAATGACAGTGTCACTAGGTTCTGTAACTACATAACTCGGACACGGCTCCCACAAGGTTCTGAGAACATGTTCTTTGTCTGCACTGGCAGTACTTCCAAATCTAGATTTCTACTCATTATCTGTTTAAGGCAATTTAAGCCTTTTCTATCATGTTCCTCAAATCCATCCATGCTCCAACCACTGCTCAGTTCCAAAGCCACTCCTGAATTTTAAGGTATTTGTTATAGCAACAACCCATTCTTGGTACCAAAATATGTTTGAGCTATTGCTACATAATAAATGACCAGAAGACTTAGCAATTTAAAACTATGTGCTTAAAAAAAGTACAAATTTATTATCTCACAGTTTCTATGGGTTAGGATCCTGGGTATAGCTTGGCTGGGTCTTCTGGCCCTGGGTCTCCCACAAGCTATACTTAATGTATCAGCTGAGCTATGTTGTCATTTGAAGGCTCAATCGGGGAGGGATCCACTCCCATGTTCATTCAGGTGGCAGGATTCATGCAATTCTTTGAGAACTATTGGACCATGGGTCTCCGTTTTTTATGAGCTGTTGTCCTCTCCATAGGACCACTCAAAACATGGCAGCTGCTTCTGCCAGAGTAAGCAAACAAGCCAAGAAGAGCCAGAGAAAGAATGTGAACAAGACAGAAGTCACTAATCTAATCTTGAAGTGACATCCTACCATTTTTGTCATATTCTTTTGATCAGAAGCAAGCTGCTAAATCAAGCCCACACTCAGGGAGATGGGATGGAGAGTTAACACTGTGTATGAATACGGAAAGGATAGGGACCAGAAGCAGCACAGTCACACAGTTAGCACCACACAATTATTAAGTGTCAAAATTAGGATGTTTCACTTCGTGATTTTTCGAAAGAATAAAATTATCTTTTGTTAAAAGATTTTATTTACTTATTTGAGAGAGAGAGCATGAGTCAAGGGAGAGTTGGAGGGCTAGGGAGAAGCAGGCTCCTGAGCTGAGCAGGGAGCCCAACCTGGGCTTGATCCCAGGATCCTGAGATTATGACCTGAGCCTAAATCAGAGACTTAATTGACTGAGCCACCCAGGCACTCCTAAAGTTGATCTGGTTCTTAATGTGCTCTGAGCTTACCAGCAAACAAACTTGCTGGGTGACCTGACACAAGTCACTCCCCCTCTCTGAGCCTTGGTTTCTTTATAAAATGAAGAGATTGGATTAGGTAATCCCAAAAATCCCTTCCAGCTCTGACTTGCTGCTTCTATGCTTTCCTTTTTACAAAGATACTTAGTTCTTAGGCCGAGGCACTAAACATTCACTGTATACAATAAACTGTTTTACGTTTTCATATCAAAAGATTCACAAAGATCTTAAAAGACACTGCAATAATATCAGATATTATGACTAAGAAAAAGTTCACTCGGAAAAGGAACACAAACCTGAAAGCCACAGAGGCTATTTGTAGATGTCAGAGCTGCTGCTCCTCAAAATTGTCCCAAAGGCCTGTCTTTTGGAGCAAAGACTGAGCTCATAGCAGTGTGGCTCCTGCTCTCAGCTCTCCTATGTTGGCCAGGCTGGTTCCTTTCTGTCAAGCTGTTAAAAAGGACACAGTCTTACTTGCAGGGAGGCACATAGTCACCAGGATAGGGGGCCTTACCAAGGGCCTGCTGGGGAATCCTAGGGGGGCACTGGTTGCTGCAGTGCTGCAGATGGGAGAGAAGGTAAAAGGAAGAGGCTGCCAGGAAGAGGAGCTCAGGGCCCCCAGGGTGTTTGAGAAAGGTCTTTGGGTCATTGGCATGGGCTTTTCAGAGAGAGCAGAGTCTGCAGGGGTCCAGGGTGCAGGCCAGGGGGGATGGGTGATGGGGCCGGGGGCTTGCTGAGTACCAAAGAGCACTGGAAACAGTATGAGGGACGTCTGGTTGGGGGCTGGGCATATGGTCACAAGCGTCCCTGATCAGCGCCCGGCTCATCCTCCTCTGCAGAGACTGTGTGTCATCTGAGACGACCAAATGTGTTTCTTTGTCTACAGGACTAAGCTTGGAATTACCCGTCCGAGAGCAAGAGTTGATGGAGCTGGGCCACCGAGCAGGTAGGACAGGCTGCCCAGGGACTTGCTGAATGCACAGTCAGGGTTTCTGGATGGGTGCCCCGTGGGCAGCAGGGAACAGCCCCTTTTCCTTCTCTCTCATCTCCCTTGGGCCTCCAGACCCACTGTGGGGCCCTGATTTCCTCCGCAGAAATCAAAGGGAAGAGAACATGGCTGGGTCCCTCCATTCTGCCCCATTCAGTGCCCTTCTGGGGGCTCAGAAGGAGATGTGTGCACCCAGAGGGCAGGGCTCACGGAGAACCCAGCAGGGGCCAGGTCTGGTCAGAGTGGAAGGTACCTGGAGGTCCTGAGTGAGCCTGGCCCAGGGAGTGCTGTGGCCCTAGGAGGCACGAAGGGAGTGTTCCAGGCATGGGCAGCAGTGAGGGCATAAGTCTGGAAGTAGAGCCGAGGGAAGTCCATATGGCTGGAGGGACTGGAGAGAGGCAGGTGCGGGATGAGTGCAGGCTGGGTCCCAGGCCTGATCCCTGAGTGGGGGCTCTGCCCTCAGGACAAGGGGACGGCTTTCAACCCAGGGTGCCTGGGGCAGGTCAGCTCTGGCAGGCACCCCACGAGAGTGGCCATCCAGTGACGCTGCTGGAAGATCTCTCCCACAACCCAAGGACCCAGGCCTCGTCAAATGTTAAATCAAATCCCAGCCTCTACCAGGGAGGTTCTGATGCAGGTGCCTGGAGGGGCCCAAGAATCTGCAGATGTAATAAGTGTGTGTGTGTGTGTGTGTGTAGGGAGTGGATTCTGATAAGGGGCCAAGCCGGAAAAACTGACCACTGAGCATTTGGGCCTCACACTCACAAGTGAAGCTGGATTCACTTGGCCCATTTTATGGCCGAGGGGATGGGGGAACAGCAGGGCTCCGGGGAGGCTCCTGGGCTGCCAGCAGACACTCATTCATTCATTCAACACAGACTGAACTCCAAGAGGATTGGGGGGGGGGTGGAGTTTGTTTCCCTGTTGGATCCCCAGTGCTCAGCACAGCACTGATGCCGTAGGTCCTCCCCCAGTGGGTGAATGGGGGGGCATAGCCGCTCTCTGAGCCCAGCCCTGCCAGTGAAGCGTGCTCATCACCCCGAATGGTGGGCAGTGGGGAGCAGGCGATTCCACTATAACATGCCCGTAAATGAGGCTGTCAGGAAGGCTTCCCGGCAGAAACAGGGAGCTCTGCTCCTGGAGTCCTGAGCTGAGCATCCTGAGGGGCCCCAAGAGGAGCCCCTCACTGTGCTGGGCCCCAGGCCCCTCAGGAGCAGAAGGAGAGGCCGTGGCTGAGCAGGTGGGTGCTGAATGGGCTTCAGACGGGGCTTCCAAAATGGGGGGCCATTCCCTTCCTGAAAGCCTCCCTTGTCCCCAGAGGCACCTGCCATTTGCTTGGCTTCCTGCTCGCTGAGGCAGAACCAGAACTGGAGGGAGGAAAGGCCTTCTGGTCTCAGGCACAGGTTTTCTCTCTGCCTTTTGTGTGGATGACAAAGGAGCAAGAATGAAATAGCATCTGATTTCATAGGTGGGGGTAGGAGGGAGGGAAAGGAGGAAGCGGGCATCCGTGTTCTCAGTCTCCACCGCCCAGGGAAGGGTCTGCCTCTCCAGGGCTGGGCGAGAGGGGCTTTTCGCAGAGCACCATTATCACTTGGTGACAGCAGAGTAGGATTCGGTGAGAGCAAAATAAAACCCCCCAAAGCTGGTAAAACCTGCTGCTTTCCAGCAGCCTTTTCTGAAAAGGAAGCCTGGAACAATCTGAATGACCACCAGTGGGGCAGCTGCAAAATCCTGCCCGGTTTGAAGGGGAAGTCAGGTCTGTGTCAGCCAATCCCCCAGGCACAGTGGTGTTTTTTAACAGCAAGTTACAAAGTGATACTTAGAATCCAATCTCATTTATAAACAAAAGCAAAGCAAAACTATGAATCCTTCAGGAGGGCTGGAGGAGCCATCTAGAATATTTTGGAGGGAAGCTCACCAAATGTGTTTATAGCTGGGATTGAAGACTGGGGAGCAGGGGGTGAGGCGAAGGCTGTGGGGGGATGGGGTGGGGGAGGGGAACGGCTCCTCTTCTGCATTTTGCACAGAAAATACAGGAAAGAATAAAGTAAGAAAGAATTTCTGTACTACTCCGGGATTATAGCATGTAACATGTTATACAAATCAAGTGTTAAGTCACCATCAGCTTGGTTGTCAGAGGCACTGTTACTTATGTGGCTCACTCACCACAAAGAAAGAGAAAACAGAGAAAACATTGCCGGTTAGACCAAGGACTGTCAACTGTCAGATGCAGCCTGTTTAGTTTTATGAAAGCACAGAGAGGTCAAGGTCCCACAGCTAGGCCTCAAGGCTGGAGCGTCTTGGCCTGCAGCTCCTACTGTCAAAAACAGTGTGGGATGATTCTGTCCCATGGGAGGCTTGGCCGACTGAGCTACCTCCTTCTTCCGTCTCTCCTGATTTCCCACCCTACCTTCTGGGTCCCGGGATTTTTCTCCATCCCTGTCCCTTTGATGCGGGCTGGCTGGGTCTGAGGACCCAGAAGCAGGGCAGGGGTAGGGGGGCCCACAGGACCAGCCGAGAGGGACTTTGGCTTTGCACAGCATAGAAATCCAATGTGTGCTGAGAAGAAATGATAGCAGAGTTTGTGAGAGACAGAGAGAGGGAGAGAGAGAGAGAGAGAGAGAGCACATACAGAGTGTCTGGAAGACCCAGAAAAGGAAAGCAGAATGAGTCTCATCTGTGCACAGGGCCTGGAGCTTTTACTGAGGACCCAGTGCATGGTCCCCTCAGGTACCCAGGAATGAGGGTGAGTGGTTAGGTGTTCCTCCTAAGTCACTGATACCGGAACCAGGGGTCCTGGTGAGTCGGTGGTCTTGGAAAATGTTCCTGTCATTCCTTAGATGTTATCTATTGTGCTGGAAGACTCCAAAGAAATCGTTAAATCCTTGACCTTTACGAGGAGGACAGACACGATCTGTCTGTAAGGCTTGTGTGAGGCAGTGGGGTGCAGGTCTCTGCAAGAACAGAGGCAGCCAAAGAAGCCAAGAAAGCAGTTTTTCTAGGAGTTTCCCTGCCTCCCCTTCCCTTGCTGTTCTGGGGCTCTGGGACTCTCAGTCTGTCTCTTCCTCCTCCCCAACCCCATCGCTGTCTCCCTTCCTGCCCCCACTCTGCACCTGTCTCTCCCTCTCTCTCCCCTGCCCTGTTCAGGTACCACTACTTTGACCAGGGCCCATGGAAGGGCCAACGAAAAGGATGGCCAGCAGGACACGGACCCCTGGAGAACTGCCCGCAGCCCTTTGGACACCTCCAAATTCAAGTACCAGGCCCCAGTCTCCCCACAGCATTCCCTGTGCCGGGGAGGCAGCCCCCTAAGGCAGGCCCACATGGAGGAGGTCCAGACTCCACCCCCATTGGCCAACAGCAGGGACTGTCTGTCCCCGGGGATGGACCCACAGCACGGGTCCCTGAAGAAGGGAGGCTACAGACCCTCCTCAAGGGAGAGCAGGGCTTCTCCTCAAGAGGGGGCTCAGCCGAACCAGGGGCTAAAGGGGGGCTCCAACACAGGAGCCCAGGGCCAGAGGAGCAGCGTCATTCCAGATAACATTCGTCACAAGTTTGGGAGCAGCATGGTGGACCAGCTGGTCTCCGAGGACCAGGTATCAGAGTGGGCACAGGACGCTGAGGGTGGCAGGAGGGTTATGCGTGGAGACTGCTCTTGAGCACAGAGTCCCTATGATTATATCATTAGGAGTGTTAACTAGGCCCTCGCATGTGCCAGCGGAGCCCACTTTATAGTCTTCGCATAAAACAAATTCATTCGATCTTCCCAGTGAGGAAGAAACTATTATCACCATCCTATGGATAAGGAGCCCAAGGCTTAGAGGAAGGGGTTAAGTAAATGAACCAAACTCACTCAGTTCTACGGGATAAGGATCCAAGCTGGGCCAGCATATTCTGGATGCCTGGAGCTTACTGACCTTTCATGTATAAGTCTGGTGTTAGATTAGATGCTCTTAAGTTGAACAAATCTCCTAAAGGAGACAGCATTGGCTGGGATCAGAAGACTGGGGTTTGAACCCTGGCTCTGCCCCCTGAATGTTGGGTCACTTTGGAGGAGTTACTTCCGCTCTCTGGGCTCTAGTCTCTGCCTCTGTAAAACGAGGCAGTTGACTAGACCAGGCTGACAAATACATGGCATGCATAGCCCAATGTCCCTAGACTGCATTCATGGCAGACATTACTAGTTGATGCTGGCACTTTTTCCCACCTGCTACATTATTCTAGGTAGTCACTATTGATCAACTGAAAGTTGAGATAAAACTGCTATTTCTGGTCAAATACTAGGAATTGCTCTTGTTCTGGTGTTTTGAGACATGTTCTCAAAAGCCGTTATCTCCACCTCCATAGCGACTACATCGCGCAGTGGGCCAGGCCCAAGTTATGGCTTCTTTTTGAAGAAGGGTGACACGATCTGCTCAAGTCACACTGAGCAAGTGGATCCCCAGGATCACAAAGGCTGTGGGCTGGGTCTCCCTCTACCTTGTCATTTTAAGGTGTGGTGACCACCCTCACCTGCTAGTCTGGGAGGTCACAATCTTAAATATCCTGTCCCGCTAGGAAGATCTTGTCCCAATTTGAGGCTGGCTCTATGGTTGCTATCTCTCATTGCTCCTCTTGGCCCTGGAAGCCATCATTTCTCTCTTGGGCCATCATCATCCTGGGCTTGAATCAAGAGATCTGTTTTTTTCTGTCTACCTTTGACACATCACATGGCTTTGTCCCTGAGCCAGCAAATATCAGAGAGGAAGCTACTTCAAAGACCATCCAGTTCGGCACCTCGCCCCCATTTTACAAGCATGGAAACTGAGGCCCAGAGAGGACCAGAGACTCATCTAATGTCAGCAGCTGGGTTACGGCAGAACTAGGACTTGAACCCGTTTCCTGGCTCAGGCCTGGGCTCAGCCACTTGAGCCTCCCAGTTGCCTCCTCAGTAGAGGAAGGAGTTGGCCCCAGTGGAACCTAAGGAGCCACCCAGAGCTGACTTGGGTGATGCCTCTGTTCTAGAGGCAAGTGGAGCCCTGGGGTTCACTAGCTGTGGCGACAGGGTGAGTCCTGCCCTGAGGCCTGGCTTCCTCATTTATAAAATGGCAGGAGTGATTATGAAGCCCTTTCCTGATGGTACAGAGTAGGTGCTCAAGGCAGGAAGGTTACTGTCCCCAGTGCCTGTGTGGGAGGTGGGGTGAGGGGTGGAGGGCCTTCAGCTCTTCCAGCTCCCAGCCCTGGGTCTGGTTGAAGGCTGCAGGGTAGGGGTGGGGTAGGGGGTGGTGAGGGCAGGGTGAGACGGAGGAGGGAGGTTGGAGGTGAGATGGGGCTGACCCTGCTTCTCTCTCTATCCCTTGTCTCTTCTCCCTCGCTCGCTGCTCAGGCTCGAAGGGCCATCGGTGAGGTCTTTGAGGGCCAGAAGAGGGCAAACTCGTGGCCCAGCAGGATCCAGAGTCCCATGGAAATCACCTCCATCTTCTCAGACTACTATGATTTGGGCTACAACATGCGATCAAACTTGTTTCAAGGTCAGGCCAAGGGGCAAGGGTGGGGACTGTCAGCACCTGTGATCCCCAAGCCACCCTTCCCTGGACCCCTATGGGGTCTGAGACCCAAGATGTACTCCTGGGGACACGGGATGATCCTTGCAGGGCCACCAAGGCCCCTCTATGGGCCAGGCCCTGTGCCTTGTGCTGGGAACGTTCAGGTTCCAGGAAAATCTGCTCTCCTCATGCACATGATCCACCTCAGTTGGCAAATAGCTCCTCACTCCCTCGAGTACCTCTAAGCTGCCAGAGGGAGGCCCAGGCACCCCTGGCCTCAGCACCTCTGGTCAGAGCGACAATATCAGGCTTCCTAGGTTCAAAGCTCAGCTCTGGCACTTCCTGGGTGTGGCCTCGGGCAGGACACTTCACCTCTCTTCACCTGTCCTCACCTCGGGCAGGACCCTTCAAGAAGGCCTCAGTCACCTTCTTAGCACCATGGGGATAATCATGATGACGTGGCCCTCACCAGGTCCTTGATGGCTCTCTGAAGTGCCTCCTGGAGACTCTTGGCCTGGGACTTGAAATGAGTAGCTGGCAGGCTATTGTTTTTCCTTCCCAGAGCCATGGTGGCACCATGGGAGGGTGGATTGGGGGTTCAGACATCAATGCAGAGTGTTTCCTGAGGGTCTACCGTAGTCCTGTTTGTTTGGGGTGACAGCTAGTAGCTCCATATCACGGGCTCATCGGAAACAGTTTGCCCAAGACCACTCAGTGCTAGGAGGTGGGTCAGAGCTCAAATTCACATTTTCCTCCTGCCTCCAAAGCCCCAGTCTTTCTTCGGCTTCCAGTCACCTCCTCAGCCCTGACCCTGTTTGCAAGCTGTTTAATGGACCTCTCGGCTGGGGGTCCACAGCCAGCATGGAAGGGGCTTCTCTCGGCCCCCATGTTCCAGTTTCACCTCATCGCAAAACATGACATCCTTCCAGTGCTCTTCTTTCTTCCCTCCATCCTGCCAGTCTCTTTCCAGTGCCCCCACGGCCTGGCAGACATTCGCACCTGGCTCAGATCCCTGTCACCGAAGGAACCAGACAGCCCCTGGAAGACTTTCTGGCTCTTTCTTTGAGCTTGGAGAAGGGGTGGTGCTGGAGGAGGAAGAGAGAATACAGCTCAGATTGTCCTCTGTTCTGGGCCTCGGGGTTCCTGCCTTTCACTTGTCTCCTTAATAATTATCACCCGAGAGTGTACACAACCTTGTCTGGTAACGTCTACACAGGGTGAAAGAGTAGCATAAAACCATTTGGCACCTGTCACCAGCCTGCGAAATACAACCTTGGCAGCTGTGCCAGAGGTGGTGCTGGAGCCAGCGCAAACCAGCTTGCACCTGCTCACAAAGGTCAATTGGTAAGTTTTCCTTAACCGATTGACATTACGACGCTATATCACAGTGAACCACAGTGGTATTTATACTCCAGACCCTGGCAAGCACCATAAATTCGGTCTTCAACTTTGGCACCAGCTGCCAGTGTCCCTCGCCCATGTGTCCCTCTTATTTCCACCCACCCCCTCAACCCTGCGCTTGCTGTTCCAGGTTGTGTTTGAACAAGAGTGGCAGAGGAGAAATCAGACGGGAGGAGATACGGGCTAGGTGGGGAAGGCGGCCAGAAAGTCTTTTCTCTTGGTGGTGGGGGGCATTGGGAGCCAGGGGAGTGTCTCAAGCAGGAGAATGGCCTTGTTTGGCGTGGGTTCAAGGACCATTCTAGTTGCCGTAGAGAATAGTTGCGGGGGAGCTGGGGCAGAGACGGGGAGACTCAGAGGAGTTGACTACAAAAATCCAGGTGGGACAGATGATGGTGGCTTGACTGGGGGAGCAGGGCTGGGTGCTCCCTTATGACTCTGGGAGCATCATCATGCAATAGGGCAGCGTGGAGAGGTAAAGGTGGTGAAGGTGGCCAGATGCAGTAGGATTCTGGATGTTTGTAATCTGGAGCACATAGAATTTGCTACTAACTGGATTTGGGTGTGGGAAGCCTGGGTGGCTCAGCAGTTGAGCATCTGCCTTTGGCTCAGGGTGTGATCTCAGTCTGAGGATGAGTCTCGCGTGAGGCTCCCTGTGAGGAGCCTGCTTCTCCCTCTGCCTGTGTCTCTGCCTCTCTCTGTGTGTCTCTCATGAATAAATAAATAAAATCTTTTTTAAAAATAAATGGATTTGGGTGCATGAGAGAGGAATTAAGGCTGATTTCAAGGTTTTTGACCTGAAAACCTGGGAGGAATTATTTCCTGAAAGAGAAGGTTCCAGGAGGAGGGGATGGAGAAATCCCATCCCATGCTGAGTCATAAAGCAAATCTTTTACCTAATCTTCTAAAATATTTAGTTTTGTTTTTCACGTCTAAGCCTTTAATCCACCCAAAGTTGATTTCTGTTGTCATTGAGAAGCAGGGATACCCGCATTTTAAATTTCAGCTTGACTAGATTTTAGTTCCTTTATCTCTGCAGTAGGGATTCTCTAGTGCCTTCTATGTTTGTTTGTTTGTTTTTTTTTTCTCAAACCCAGCTAGTATCCTTATAATCATTGTTTTAAATTCTAGTTCAGGCATCATCTATCTGCACTGATTAAATCCCTGGCTATGAGCTCTACTTCCTGTTCTTTCTTTTGAGGTGGATTTCTCCATATCATTATTTTGTCCAGAAAAGAAAAGATGAAAGAAAAAAAAACCAACAAAACAAAACAAACAAACAAAACTAGATCCTGGGTGTGTTTTAGTCTGCTTGTTAAAAGAATCCAGGGACGTCTGGGTGGCTCAGTGGTTGAGCATCTGCCTTGGGCTCAGGTCATGATCCTGGAGGAGTCTTGGGCTCAAATCCCTCATTGTGGCCTTTGCCTCTGTGTCTGCCTCTCTCTGTGTGTCTCTCTGAATGGTAAATGAATGAATGATGAATAGAATCTAGATCCAAAAATAAAACAAAATAATAATATTTTCTATATTTTATTTATTTATTTATTTATTTATCTATCTATTTATATTTATTTATGATAGTCACAGAGAGAGAGAGAGAGAGAGAGAGGCAGAGACACAGGCAGAGGGAGAAGCAGGCTCCATGCACCGGGAGCCCGACGTGGGACTCGATCCCGGGTCTCCAGTATCGCGCCCTGGGCCAAAGGCAGGCGCCAAACCGCTGCGCCACCCAGGGATCCCAATAAAACAAAATAAAACGAAAATATATATAACCATAAAATGTTTAAAAATAATAATGAGTTAAAGGAATTTTTAAAAGAAATAATAATAATAATAATAATAATAATAATAATAATAAAGAATAAAGTAAAAGGAAGCTAGAGGCTCTTCCCCTTGGGGCCGAGGCTTTGCAGCCCTCTGTGGCCAGCAGCCTTGGTGCCAGGGTGCTGTTCGCGCGGGTTTGTTTCGGTGGGACGCGCCTCCAGGGCTCGGGCATGCGGCTCGGTGTAAGCAGCTCCGGCCTCCACTGGGTGGCGCCGTCCGGCTCCCCGAAGGTTTTGGGCGCGGGCGCGCAGGGCGGACGAGCGGGTGCCGGCTCGCGAGCCCCAGAGCCGCAGGCTTGCGCCCCACTCTCCGGGGGGGGGCCCTCACGGAAGGCAAGCCATCACTCTTGCCTCCCGGGGCAAGAACTGCGCTCACGCTGCCATCTGCGCTGTTGAATGGCCGGCGTGCGACTGGCTCTCAAGACCCCCCCAGCTTCAGGCACTGGCGCAGCGCGCACCCGCAGTGACCCCCCGGGACGTCTCGCCGCGCTTCTGCCCCTTGCTGGCGGTCCCAGGAGAGGGTGGCGGGAGCCCCCGCGGTCCGCGGCGCGTGGCAACCCGGGGCCCGAGGGCGGCTCGCGCTCCCGGCGGCTTCCCCGCTCCCGCGCCCGGGCGCCGCGCCGCCCTTCCCGCGACCCCGGCCCGGGAGCCCCGGGAGCCCCGGGCCCCCCAGCCCCCCGGGACTCCGCGCCGCCGCCCCGGCCGAGCGCCTCAGGCCGCGCACAGCCGCACAGGCGTGGACTCCACGGTGCCTCCCGGGCCCGCCCCGCCCTCCCAGCGCGGCACCTTCAGCTGGGTCTCCCCCAAGACAACTCTGCGCCCCTTCCCTCCCAAAGGTCACTTTGCGACTCGCAGACTTGCAGTTTCTCCGACTGATTTCTCGGGCGTTCGGAATGACTTGCTGACTATCCAGCTGCGTTGGAGGGAGGAGACCAGCTTAGGGCCCCCTACCCCTCTGTTAGGCCCCGTCCTACCTCCTCTGCTAGGCTTCCTTAGAACTTCATTTTTTTTCCGTTGCTTCTTACGAATAGTATCTTTTTAAAAATTACATCGTCTAATTCTGCTGCTTGCATACACAGATGGGGTTTTCACTCTTGCATATTCATCTTCTATCCTGAAGTCTGGTTCTATTAGCTCACTAATTCCAATAATTTGTTTGTAGGTTCTCCGGGGCTTGTTTTTAGTACTAATAGTGGCTGCACTTATGCACGACAGATGATATGTGTCACCAGGCATGGCTCTAAGTATTTTATTTATTTATTTTATTTTATTTTATTTTATTTTATTTATTTATTTTATTTTATTTTATTTTATTTTATTTTATTTTATTATCTTTTAAAGATTTTATTTATTTATTCATGAGAGACACACACACACACACACAGAGAGAGAGAGAGAGAGGGGCAGAGACACAGGCAGAGGGAGAAGCAGGCTCCATGCGGGAGACCGATGTGGGACTCAATTCCGGGACTCCAGGATCATGCCCTGGGCCAAAGGCAGTTGCTAAACCGCTGAGCCACCCAGGGATCCCTTCTCTAAGTATTTTAGATACATTTTGATTTTCACATAGCCATGGGTACTATGATTTTTTTTTTTTTTTTAGGGGAGAAACGTTGACGATGGGAAATGTTAAATAACCCGTTTAAGGCCACACAGCTAGGAATGGTCAGAGTTGGGATTTAAATTCTGGCAACCTAGGGCTGAGTTCACATTATTTTTTAAATATTTACTTGAGGGAGGACCATGAGTGGAGGGGGAGCCAGA